CGACCTTGAGTTTACGAACTTTCGTAGAATATTCGTTAATCATCATTACTTGCTTCGTAAAAAAAAAAAATAATGATACAAAATCAGAATAACCGTGATTTTGCTCAGTGGCACGTATGCACGCAAACCTCATCACCATCATCGTCGTCGTCGTCCATACAGCGAAAACTCGCGATAACCCCCCCGATAACTCGTGATTTATCTTACAGAGTGTTAAGAAACCCAAAATCTCGTGGCAGTTATTGTTGGGAGGGGGGGGTTATTGGAATAGTGTACAGTACTGTAAATAAGAAAATGTTGTGGTGATGCTAGACGTTGTGGGCAGTGGTGCACAAGCACAAATAACAAACAAAAACACTGCTTTAAAAAGAAAAAAGCGTATAATACTTGACGCTTCGGGCAATGTCCCTTTTTCACGTCACACAGGTCTCCCTATGAGCTGTTAACAAGTCGCCAATGACCCAAATTTTGGTTTGTCTGTTTTTTTCTATTCTAAATAAACCTTCATAGAAATTCTTGCAAGAAACGTAATCCTGTTGTATTCCGGCTGCGTCGGTGGCACGCAAACACCGTGGTTGAGATAACTTGTGGAATCGGTGATTAGGATCGAGCCCTGTCGTGTTGTTTACGACTGGAGGCAAGAGGGAATGACAGGAGAGGGTGGGTGTGTGTGTGTGTGTGATCGTTACCCGACTCGCGGCCAAACAGAGCCTCGATAAAGGACGATTACCAATGCCACGTTTAGATTTCACCGTTGTCTGCAATACGCGGAAATCTACAACACGTACCGGATCAAGGTGTAACGTTTAAATGCGTCCACGGCATTGTTAAATCACATGGGTTTGCATGCACGTTAAAATAGTTGTTTTATTCCCCCTCTGTAACATGCGATCAACGTTGCATCAGCACCCCCCCCCCCACTCCTATGCAAAAACATTGGAAAATAAATCAACGCTATGCTTCTGATACAGCGTGCATTTGTTTGTTACTTATCGAAGAATTTCACAAATGCAAAATGCACCAAGCACACGTGTTTTGGTCAGCTGTGACAGCTATTTAGAGCAATAAAAAAAGGCACGACCCCCCCTCGATCTAAACACACTCTGACAAACTGGCTCGGTTTACAATTTATCCCGACATCATTACGCGAAATGCAACGTTTAATGGAATCACGTTGTTTTTAGGATTTTATTTTTAAATTAAGCAGTCTTCCTCGCCGAAGACCGCTGCAACGCAACACTGGCAGCGAGATCGTCTTTGTTAAAGGGCAGCAGCAGCAGTGGACGAGCGAGGCGAGCACACACACCACATCCATCACACACACATCACACCAGGACCATCACACACACACACACCACAACCATCACACACACATCACACCACCACACACACACCACAACCATCACACACATCACACCACCACACACACACACACACCACAACCATCACACACATCACACCACCACACACACACCACAACCATCACACACACACCACAACCATCACACACACACACACCACAACCATCACACACATCACACACACATCACACACACACACCACAACCATCACACACACATCACACACACACACACCACAACCATCACACACACATCACACACACACACACCACAACCATCACACACACATCACACACACACACCACAACCATCACACACACATCACACACACACACACCACAACCATCACACACACATCACACACACACACACCACAACCATCACACACACATCACACCAGCGCCATCACACACACCACATCCATCACACACACATCACACCAGCACCATCACACACACCACATCCATCACACACACATCACACCACCACACACACACATCACACCACCACACACACACCACACCACAACCATCACACACACATCACACCAGCACCATCACACACACCATCACACACACACACACACCACAACCATCACACACACATCACACACACATCACACCACCACACACACACCACACCAGCACCATCACACACACCACAACCATCACACACACACACCAGCACACACACACCACACCAGCACCATCACACACACACACCACACAAGCACCATCACACACACACCACACGAGCACCATCACACACACACCACACCAGCACCATCACACACACACCACACCAGCACCATCACACACACCACACCAGCACCATCACACACACCACACCACACCATAACACACACACCACACCATCACACACACACACCACACGAGCACCACCACACACACACACCACACCAGCACCACCACACACACACCACACCAGCACCACCACACACACACACCACACCAGCACCATCACACACACACCACACCAGCATCATCACACACACCACACCAGCACCATCACACACACACCACACCAGCACCATCACACACACCACACCAGCACCATCACACACACACCACACCAGCACCATCACACACACCACACGAGCACCATCACACACACACCACACCAGCACCATAACACACCACACCAGCACCATAACACTCCACACCACACCAGCACCATCACACACACCACACCATCACACACACACCACACCAGCACCATCACACACACACCACACCAGCACCATAACACACCACACCAGCACCATCACACACCATACCAGCACCATCACACACCATACCAGCACCATCACACACCACACCATCACACACACCACACCACACCATCTCACACACACACACCACACCAGCACCACCACACAACACACCAGCACCATCACACACCACACCAGCACCATCACACACCACACCAGCACCATCACACACCACACCATCTCACACACACAACACACCAACACCACCACACACCACACCGGCAACACCACACACCACACCGGCACCATCACACACACACCACACCAGCACCATCACACACACCACACCAGCACCATCACACACACCACACCACACCATAACACACACACCACACCATCACACACACACACCACACGAGCACCACCACACACACACACCACACCAGCACCACCACACACACACCACACCAGCACCACCACACACACACACCACACCAGCACCATCACACACACACCACACCAGCATCATCACACACACCACACCAGCACCATCACACACACACCACACCAGCACCATCACACACACCACACCAGCACCATCACACACACACCACACCAGCACCATCACACACACCACACGAGCACCATCACACACACACCACACCAGCACCATAACACACCACACCAGCACCATAACACTCCACACCACACCAGCACCATCACACACACCACACCATCACACACACACCACACCAGCACCATCACACACACACCACACCAGCACCATAACACACCACACCAGCACCATCACACACCATACCAGCACCATCACACACCATACCAGCACCATCACACACCACACCATCACACACACCACACCACACCATCTCACACACACACACCACACCAGCACCACCACACAACACACCAGCACCATCACACACCACACCAGCACCATCACACACCACACCAGCACCATCACACACCACACCATCTCACACACACAACACACCAACACCACCACACACCACACCGGCAACACCACACACCACACCGGCACCACCACACAGCACACCGGCACCACCACACACCACACCGGCACCATCACACACCACACCAGCACCATCACACACCACACCATCACACACACAACACACCAACACCACCACACACCACACCGGCACCACTACACACCACACCGGCACCACCACACATCACACCAACACCACCACACACACACCAGTACCATCACACACCAGTACCATCACACACCACACCATCACACACACCATACCATCACACACAGTCCACCAGCTCCATCCCACACACACACCATCTCACACACTCCACTAACACAATACTAGCACCATCGCACACCCCGCAATAACACCATACCAGCAGCATGCCCACATTACACTAACACTACACCCTTCCGTACACTCCACTCACGCCAACACAATCACACACTCAGCCCACTAACTTCACACGAGCATCATCACCACACTGCAACTACACCACACCGGGCACGAACACACACACACATACACAAACACGTCCGTTTGCCACCAAGTGCAGTCACCACATCGTTTGTGCCAGGCTAGGTGCACACCGAGGCCTCGCAAAGTGTGCGAGGCTCCCTGGCAGGAGGTAACGGGAGAAACCACGAGATGTCACGGTGTTAAATGACCGAGATAACTCTCAAGATGCGCACACACACACGGCTGACATGCACCACACCGGTACACGTACGCACGTGTACTCACTCTTGCATGCACGCACTCGCATGTGTGAACGCATGCACACGGTACACACACACACACGTGTACACCGATGGACTCATTGGCGTGTACACGCGCACGTATAGACGAAATAGACTGGTGGGGCAGGTGCTGTTGGCGAGCACCTATTAAGGCCGAGTTGGGTGGGCTGAGCAGCATGCCCGATCGCCTCCGTCTCTCGAGCAAACGATGTTTACAAAACCGCACCAAATTTTGATGCCGAGTCGACCTAGCGGGAGGCCCAGGGACCGCTTCGCATCATTCGCCACCGTCATTTACTGTTCGTGAGCGGGAATCAAAACTCGGCCACACGTTCGCCGCGAACCGACGGAGACGACGTAACAGCAGCAGCAGCAGCAGCTTGTGCCAGGCTAGGTGCACTTCGAGAGTGCACAGGTCAAGCACTTACAGCAACACGCACGTATGCGCGTACACAGCCACGTGACGCACGCGAGTACACACACGACATACTCCACACACATACACACGCAGGCAGGCAGGCAGCTCGAACCCCAGCAACAGCCCTCGCAGCTACTACTACGACTGCCACTGTACACAGGCGGGCCCGCGCGCAGCCACGCTGCTAGCGACGGCGAGACCGCCTTGAGCGCGCATGACATCGCGGCGTACCCCGTGGGCGAGGCCGGACAAGGTTCCCGAGCCCGACCGATGGAGCGGCGGTGGAGAAGAAACTTGACCTCGCGGCGGCAGGGAAGAAGCAGAAACAAGAGCAGCAGCGGCAGCGGAGGCGGTGGCGGCGGCGGCGGGCAGAGTGCGAATGAGAGAGCCGACAACCGTCTCGTCCCTGCCTCTGCCCGGTGGCGTCATCGCTGGGGGGGGGGCGGGGCTTAGTCGATTGAGGGCGGGGCCTAGTCGAGGGAGGCGGAGCCTAGTGGAGGGTGGGCGGGGTCTTGCGTCAGCGTGTTTACGCCAAAAAGCCAATACAAAAGCCATTGGATTATGTGTGCAAGATCGAGAATAGGGAACGCAAATGGCTATAAATGAAGAAAAATAGTAAAGATGATAGGAAGTATAAATTACCTACATTCCTGCCGATTTGGCAAAAACCAATTGTAAGCTTGGGCATGGCAGCAAAACAACAAGTCCCACCAGACCACACCAAGACAACAACACTCCCTCAATTGGTGCTCCGAGTACACGATTGTGAGAAGGACATGGAAATAACAGCTCTCATTTGTTCCGTTAAACAGCAAATATCACAAAACCCCCAACATTATTTGTCAATCGCAGTGTACGGCCTTAAAAAATGAACAAATATTTCACAGGCGACTGAGGCGAGGATTCAGGCAAACAATTATTTTTATAATCGTCCTTTTTAATACCCTTGTCATTTCTAGGTTTCCTATTAAGGCAGTGGGTGTTATTGACGAATGTGTTGCGAGTTAAGATTGTACCGTGTGATTCTGATTGGTAAATAATTGGCAATTAAGTTCAAAGGAACTCACAAACACCTCGGATTTGATCTAACCACGAAGCTCATGGTTCACCCTAAACCTCATCCACTGCAAAAAAAACAAAACCCCCATGGCAGTAGATGCGGCTCCCTGATGCCCAGCAGTGATGCGACTGTGGCCATCCAGAGCAGAGACCGACAAAGTATACCCACGCAATGCCCCGATCCACAAATACGAAGGAGACATCACAGCTATACACTCCTGCGCTACTGCTCCTGACGCGGTTATCTGGGCTTGACCACCTAAATGTGAAATTGAAGTCGTTCGCTCTTCATCCACATCAGCGGCCGTACGACAAAGAAGATTGGCAAATCAATAATTGGGGATGCTGGGCTCGTGGGCGGGACTTAGCCATGGAGAGGCGGGGTTTATCTGGCATGTGGGGGCGTGGTTTAAACCAGGGGGCGGGGGCTTGGTGGCCTGACGAGGGAGGGAGGGGAATTTTAAAGCACAGCTGGGCTTGTGAAGTGGAGACCCCAGCGTACTCCTGAGTCTAAATATATATTTATATGGATAGGTACTGCATATGAAGGGAACATTATCTGCGCATTAATTATGTATATACAGTACTTTAGTACAAATCCAGCTATATTTTCAGTCGTGTCTGACTAAAGTTTTTTTTTTACTAGGTAAGGCCCAAATTTTGACTCAAAACTTTCGCGAATTGCAGAAATTCATATTCTTTGGTTCTTTCGGTAAAGTCACGTAGATAGAAAAAATAAAAGTAAATAAAATAAAACTACGACGTTTCGATCACAACACAAGCGACCGTTATCAGGAGGAAAAAGGGAAGGCCATTTTTTCCTCCTGATGACTGATGACGATCGCTTGTGTTGTGATCGAAACGTCTTAGTTTTATTTACTTGTATTCTTTCTATCTACGTGACTTTACCGAAAGAACCAAATAATAGCTAAGGCCCACTGAGCTATGCAGATCTTATACTGGTAGGAACTGGTTCCACCAGCCCACAGGGGATTATTGTGTCCGTCCGTCCGTCGTGCATCCAAAAATGGGAGGGGTGGGGCTGGGTGGAGAGGGGAGGATGGAGAGGGGCTGGGTGGTGAAGGCAGCCACGGCACACACGAGGGGGTGGGTGGCCACCAACCACGTCCGGCCATCTTCACGACATTCTTTCCCTCCACGTGGAGAATCAACAACATGCGTTTGGAGTATGCGGCCGCTCTCAATCTCTACATTATAAGCCGCCAATTCGTTGAGCCATCATTCGAGGCAAGGTCACTTCGGAATCGTATACAGCTCAGTGGGCCCTGCCCGGTCAAAATAAAACATTTAGTTGAGTACTTTTATACTCCCAGGTCCCCACTCGGTCCCCACCCTTTCACGCCGGCTTGTGCCCGCCCTCACAGTCGGGCATATTTGCGGAATACACCACGCCGCCGTTGACTCTGGCCATTGACTGAGCAACCCAACATTCCTACCAGCTCCCTCCGCAGGAATGTGTTTCAGAAGTGACCTGCCCACAAAAGACAGCTCAACGAAGTGGCTTATCACGTGATAATGTAGGGCAGTGCCAAATACTCCAAACGCATGTTTCTAAATGTGGAGGGAAAAACCGGAGGACCCGGAGAAAAATACACGTGACCACGGAGAGACACTACAAACTCCAAATATATACAGCAGGCATCAGGGTCGAACCCACGACCTCCTGTATACCAGGCGAGGTAGTTAACAGGTAGCTATTGGTTTGCATTTGTCGTGCAAGTGGGTGCAAATGCATTGTCAGAGCAAAAAAGTGGAGCGCCACTTGAGATGCCGGATTTCAATCTGGGTAGCTACCCCTGATTCAAGCAGTTTCTCAAGTGTACCAAGTGGATGGCCTCAGTCCAGTCATCAATGATTGGACAAACCCCACCCCCTCTCCATCATATTTTATTAAGTTTTTCATATTGTGGGTAACGAATCTGTTAAGGAGACTTCATGAATGTCTACTGATGTCACCAGCAATGGCCATATTGCATCTGCCGGCCGTCCGTGCTTAAGACTTGCAATTCAAGTTGAGGCTCAAGATTTCATCCTCTGCCTATAACTGACTGCCTTATCTGTAAAATAGAGATGGCCACTGTTCTCGACAGCATCTTGAGATACTATTGCATTGAGATGCAGTGTAAATCGAAACGATTTTGAACTGTTGTTTCATCATGGTCATCATCATTATACACATGCCCGTGCTTTTGCGATTGTTTCCTTATATCTGCTGGTGATCACGAACAAGATGTAGACTCCATTGCGTCTACATAGTCCCTGGGACTGTCCAAGGACCTCGTCTTATCCCTATGAAGATATATTGTCTCAGCACCAGACTTTAATCATTCTGTCCTTTTGCTATTATCCACAGAAAAACTAATCGGAAGGATTGATATGCAGATGTAGGGAAATGCATAATCTGATTATGCGACTAATAATCATCTGTATTTAGACTGGAGAAATACGATGAGCTATGAAGCTATTTTTCAGAAATGCCCAACGTGGGCGCGTCTGCGAGTTACAGCAGCAAACAATACAAAAGCACGACAGAAGAGCAAAATATAGAAAATGATAAACAAGTTACTAAATATTACCAAAAGAACCAAGAATATGAATCCCTGCAGTCACGAAAGCTTTAAATCAAAAGTCACTAAATATAAATAATGATGAGTCAATGATGAGGGAGTCACAGTGAACAAGACCGTACTCCATGTTCGGGGAGTACTGTATTATACATAGTTATAAAATGCAGATTTGTGGTTAAACATATAACAGTAAACATAACAAACATATCCATAGTGGATCGTGAGTCCCGTGTGTCACATGTGGCAGAGATGATAGGTGAGAGGGGTGTGCAACTCCGTGAGGAGGGGTCAAGCCGGGTCGGGAGTCAAACTCAGCGCCCTGGAGACAGGGGAGGAGTTTCCTGGAATGTTCAAGAGACGTGGCCAATTAGGGATGAGCTCGCGACAACAACAGCAGGGGTGTGTGATTGAGGTAGGAAGCCAATCGGGTGGTCTTGCGGTGATGTTGAAGGTGGGGTCTTAATTGGTGCCATCAAAGTCTGGGCTCAAACTGGATAGGGCTGGTTGGCCGTGGGCTGGTTAATTAGTGCTCACAACGCGTTCGTGTCTGTGTCGTACTCCCTTCAACATCTGAGAGCACGTGGTAAGATGTGCTACATCTTCTCGCGTTTACTGCGCATCTGTGAAAAAGAGCTTTATAGCTCATCGGATTCTTCCAGTGGAAATAAATATTCTTATTCTGTTCACCCTACGGTAGATTGTATCTGGTATAGTCCATCCAGAGAGCGTGGAAGCTAAAATTACTGGCATTTTGCAAGACTCGCCCACCTCTTCGAGGCCAATATCCCTATTGTCCTGTACCTCCAAGCTAATGGAACGTGCTATGCTTGCCAACACTTGCCCCATTACCAATGCCCAACTGCCTTCCGAACAAGCCGGATTTCGCTATTATGAACATATCGTTGCCATCATCAACCCCCGTACACAAAACTGCAAGATGCACAATTTAGTAAAACGATGGGTATCATAACTGGAGCATTGACACCAACACTAATCCCCTGGCTCCCTGTTATGGCGATCATTGAACCACCTAATGTCCACCTAAATGACAATGGAACCATCAACCAAGACACCAACAATGAACCCTGCCACCGACTCAAGGCCCGATGCCCCCTTGTGGGATCGCACTGTCACAAACCTAGATTTTTAACCCAAATCCAGAAGAATACTGGCAAACGGAGTGGAACGCGCATGTCTAGCATAAACACCTCATTAGAGACTAAAACACAGCCATTCCAGACAGCGACATTTCTTGAAGACACTTGTGTACCCATCAACAGCATCATAACATCAGCAGGCTGGAGCGCACATCTTCATGAATGAAAGGAATACTAAAGTGTGATTGTGGCCATGCATACAAAGTGCTTGCCACAAATGAATCACAATACCTTTCTTGAACTACCAAAACTTGCTTGAACTACTAAAACTTGCTTGAACCACAATACCTTGCTGATTTCGTCAAGGAGTATAAACTTCACGCAAACTCCGGTCATCCTCGCAGCGGCTTTTGGCTAGCCATCGAACAAAGATGGTCACTTCAACGCAGCTTTCAGATGCACTTCTGCGGCCGTCTGGAACACTTTTCCTTCCGATATTAGAAAGCCACTGGAGCTATGTACTTTTAAATATAGATTGAAAAATCATTTATTTAGAACTGCTTTTTGTGTTTAGTTTGTGGTCTTTGCCCCGCACATCTGATTAGCATGGTTGGCTACGTAAGGTGCGAAAAAAGTTTATCATACACATACATGCAACCCAAAACAATGGACTGTATCGTAAACCGCTG